CTGGAATGGACTTTGTAAAATTTGGGTGATGAATTGCTCTGATTACACGTGGAGTGGTATTCCAAGGCAGAAAGCTGAAAATGAGCATTCCAGAAGGGAAAAAACCATCTGAATATGATATTAGAAGATTTTATATTTCTAGGTAGTTTGGACTTCCTGAGTTACTTAAGAAACAATTTTCTTTCCATCAGGAAATATCTTAGTCAGGTCTCTTTTTGTTGCAAGTGAGAGAAATTAATGTAAACTTATTAAAGTAAAAGGAGACATTTTATAAGCAAGGCAGGATGACCTGCTAGAGAAATTAGGTGTTTTCTCCTTCCTTCTCTAAAAGGCAAGCAAAAGGTTAGCTCCTCTATTTTGCAGGCCTGATATATCCATCCTTTGCTCTTGGAGAGAAGAGGATGTTTTAAAGTCGGTTTTATTGATATAATTTATATATAATAAAATTTATCAATATAAAAAGTACAGTTTGATGAACTTGACAAAGAGATACAGTCATGTAACCACCATCGCAATCATGATACAGAACATTTCTATCACCCCCAAAAGTCCCCATATGCCTCTATGCAGTCAATCCCCTCCCCAACCCGGCTCCCTGATACCCCTGCTTTCTGTCATAGTTTTGCTTTGTGTAGAATTTAAATCTAAATGAATTGTGTAGAATTCATTTAAATGAACTCTATAGTGTGTATTTGTTTGTGTCTGACTTCTTTCACTTAGTATAATTCTTTTCAGATCATCCATATTCTTGCATATTTCAGCAGCTCTGCCTTTTTATTGTTGAGTGGTATTCTATCGTATACACATACAACGATTTCTTTATCTGTTCATGAGATGATAGATATTTGGGTCATTTCTAGCTCTGAATAAAGTACATGCTTTTGTGGGGGCTTATTTTTTCATTTCTCGTGGGTAATTACCTAGGATTGAGATTGTTGCATCATTAAGTGCATATTTAATTTGATAAGAAACTGTCAAACTTTCCCAAAGTGGGTGTATCGTTTTGCATTGCCAGCAGCAATGCGTGAGAGTTTCAGTTGTTCTACATCCTCGGTATTGTCGGTATTGTCCGTCTTTCATTTTAGCCTTTCTAGTGGGCATGTAGTGGTATCTCAATGTGTACCCCCTGCCCGAGTTTTACTGAGATATGATTGACATGTAGTATTGTATTAGTTTAAGATGTATAACATAATGATTTGATATACGTATATATAATGTGAAATAATCATCACAATAAGTTGAATTAAAATCCATCATTTCACATAGTTACTATTTTTTTCTGGTGATGAGAAGTTTTAAGATCTACTCTTAGCAACTTTTGAAGGTATAATAACAGTATTACTGAAACAGTATTACTAACTATAGTCACCATGCTGTACATTACATTCCCAGAAGTATATATCTTATAACTGGAAATTTGTACCTTTTGACCACATATAAAGAGGTCAATTTCACTCTGAAAGGTTTTGTCAATCTTTCAAGTTTCCAAAATATTTAGAACTCAGAAATACTGCTCTTCATATGAGATCACAAGTAACAGAAGACACTCTTACACTCAGGCCCACAGTGAAAAAACTAATAGTAAAACAAGTCGAAGTAATTAAACAATAAGATTTGAAAATCAGTTATTGAATATAGAACTGGAAGACTGTACTTCAGGAAAATGGAAAATGGGATGGCTGCGATTCCATGATCAGACCAGGCCCAACAGAAACTGTAATAACAACAGAGCTTAGCTATGAGAATTTTCCACAATGACAGAACTTTAAAAACATGCTTTTATATTAACTAAAGATATTCACAGTTGAAACTGCCAAAACTTGCTTAATACCATATCTCCCTTCTCAATATTTAAAATCCACAGGATACTCGGACCTCAGTGAACATTTGATGGTTGGAGAATAACTGAAACCATCAGTTCAAAGGTTCTCCCTACATACTTTAATTTTAAGACAAAATAATCTATAAACTCGGGACAATGTTGCTTTCTTTAGAAAAACCTGACTAACATTGATCTTTGTCAGTGTACACTTGGTTCTTTACTGAACTCTTACCAGTGGCCAGAAAAGGTAACATACTTGAATTTATCCAGTGTCAAACTATACAATCTAACACTCAATGTTTCCCAGACACTAGGCATATTAGATGTTAGCAATATAGTCTTTTATTTTGTCACATCTTAAAGAACTTTACATTTTCAGGTACATGTCGAAGATGCTCCCAGGTACTTCCTTCTTCTTGGAACGTAAGCAAGAAAATAAAACTTTCTCTAAGGAGCAACTTGATTCTTTTCAAAAACTGAAGACTTTGGAAGCTGGTGGCAACAGTTTCGTTTGCTCCTGTGACTCCCTGTCTTTCACAAAGGGGCAGCAGGCCCTGGCCCAGGTCCTGATCGACTGGCCAGAAGAATACCTGTGTGACTCTCCATCCCCCGTGCGGGGCCAGCGGGTTCGGGACACCCGGCTCTCGCCTTCTGAATGCCACAGGGCAGCCGTGGTGTCTGCCGTGTGCTGTGCCCTTTTCCTGTCGCTCCTGCCCGTGGGATTTCTGTGCCACCGTTTCCACGGACTGTGGTACATGAAGATGATGTGGGCCTGGCTCCAGGCCAAGAGGAAGCCCAGGAAGGCCCCCCGCAGGGACATCTGCTATGACGCCTTTGTGTCCTACAGTGAACGGGATTCCTACTGGGTGGAGAACCTCATGGTCCAGGAGCTGGAGCACTTCAGACCTCCCTTTAAGTTGTGTCTTCACAAACGGGACTTCATTCCTGGCAAGTGGATTATCGACAATATCATTGACTCCATTGAAAAGAGCCACAAAACCATCTTTGTGCTTTCTGAGAACTTTGTGAAGAGTGAGTGGTGCAAGTACGAGCTGGACTTCTCCCATTTTCGTCTCTTTGATGAGAACGACGATGCTGCCATTCTCATTCTGCTGGAGCCCATTGAGAAAAAGGCCATCCCCAGCAGGAAGGGTTTCAGTTGAAGGACAATTCTCGTTTTTAAAAGAAAAATATCTATTAAATGAAATATTCTCAGGTTTCAAAACTCAGCTCTATGTTGATTCAGAGTTTTACTATTATCATTTCACATAGGCACTAATAAATAGTATTCTTCAAAAGTTACAGATGTTATTGAAATCTCTTCAAAGTAGAAAAATTTTGAAGAATGAGCATTTGCGTACAACAATCTGTGTATTAGTGCAAGGATTACAGCAGATTTTCATTAAGTGATTTTTGACGGATATATTTATTATTTTCTCTATTACAAAATATTTTATGTGAACAAGACAGTGTTTTTTGATAACTTCACTTTAGAATTTCAGTCAGATTCTCAAAAAATAGATACCATGAGAATTACTTTTTACCGAATTATCTTTTCATATTGTGTTCATTTTCTAACTTTTTTTTTAAAAAAATAAGTTGTGTAGGCAGTTAGAGGAGGTCTTATACTGAAAAGAAGCTAAGGCGTTTTGGAGTCTAACCTGGGATTTGCCACTTGGCTCTGAGCCATATGACTTGAGGCAATTTCTTTAATCACTTGAACTGAAGGCGTAATAATATCAGAACTATTTATTTCACGTGTTATTATAAGACTCAGGTGAAAAGATTTATGTGAAAGTGCTTCGAAAACGTGAAGAACTGAACACGTATAAGGATGTGCCTTAGTAGAAGGTGCTAATAGCTTTGCTGAGAGTGTAGAGAAAAATACACTGCATGTAGATGACACTGGTAGTAAGTTGTGGGTAAATACATAATTTCTACTTAACTTTGTCAGAATATTCTAATCAACTTTGGGATTACAAAGCAATAACATCAGTCAATCTAGGCAGCTCAACTAGAAAAGATATATAGAGAAAGAACAGAGGTTTTCAGTTTCAGGGCAAAAAATTGGAAAGAAGTTTTCTGAAGGACACACTTGAGAAATCATGAGGAAGGGAGGGGGAGATTTTGAAGTAATAAGAAGAAAGTGTTTCAGACAGCTGGAGAGCCTGGATGGTCAGGGCTGCAGAGAAATGTCCCCACAGTAATCAGTAAACTGTATGGAAAAACAGACTCCATCCCCTCAAGTTCATATTCATGCCTATAGATTAAGTTTGCCTAAGGCTGGAGCCTTTGATGAAGACTAGGCATGTGGAATAGGGTAACACAAAGAACCCTGGGTTTAGGGTAAAATTCTGGTTTCAAATCTCAATTCTGCCACTTAGAATTTGCATGGCATTTCCTCCTGTGTCAAAGAGGAACTAGAATGCTTCTTCAGCCTCCAATCTCAATTTGGGAAGGTCAAATGTAATTATGAAAATAAAATATAGTTTATGAATATTAAGGCAGCTTAATTTTGAAAAGGTAGCTAGTTTCCCTTACAAACATGTCTCACTAGTTTCTGTGGCAATGAAGAAAGCCAATCTAAGACTGTTCGTTTTGGGAATTACCCATTTTGAGAAACAGGGATGGAAACGCGCAAGGGAAGGACTTAGGTTCAAAATCTTAGACATAAGGGGGAGCCCACATCTTTTCACGGTAAGAGCAGGGATGGGAGGTGGGTGCTAGGGAAAGTCAGCGCACCACCAGGGGACCGCCACAAGATTGAAATTTTTTAAAAATCTGGGCTGTCCTTATCTGCTCTTCAGGCAAAATCTTACTACGTTGGTTTGGATAGTGACTGGTGAGTTATTTTAATGCAGGAGAGAATAGACTTGCGGGTGGAAGTGGACCCTGGAGATATACTGACCGGGAAATTGTGTTTAAAAGGTCGTGGTGGGGGTGGGAGGTGGATGAGAGGCATGATTCGTGAGCCTGAATTTGGGCGTCCAAGGACGCAGAAGAATGGAGACGGCGTGTTTCAGGGCAGTAAGAGGCTTTGGGTGCCCGAGGCTTCAAGAAAATAGCGGTTGGGTAATAAGCCTTCTCGTTGGTTTCGAAATCTAACTCTGTGCTGGGGAAATCACACGCGGAGGCCTTAAGCGTCTCGCAGAAGGCGCGGCCTGGCGGCAGCTGCGCATTCTCCGGATACATCGGGCCGAAAATACGCTCGGCGGGCTTCCTCGTTCCGCAGCCCTTCCCGGACCGGGCGGGCAGGGTCCCAGGGTGGCCGAGGCGCGGACGCGGGCGCCGGGCATCCTCGCTTCCCAGTCGGCGGCACCCGGGACCCCAGTCGTGCGGCGCGGGCCCGGGGAAGGGGGGAGTCCCCGGCCCCGAGGCCGTCGACGCTCCTGCAGCCCCGTCTGCTAGGCCCCGCACGGCAATGTGGACACCCGCCCCGCCGAGGTGAGAGAAGCGGGGACCTCACGGAAAGGGACGGGGGTGCGGCTGAGGTTCGCCCAGCCCTTGGCGTCCCGGTGCCCGCGGGCCTTGGCGGGGCCATCCAGCCTCCGATGGGGCGCCGCGGGAAGCTTCCGCGGGCTCCGCGCTGCGGCCGGCCGCGTTCCGGGAGGCGGGGTGGCCAGTGGCTCCAGTTTCCGAAGGGCAGCCCTCTCGTCGGCGGCTCAGGGCGCCCCAGTCGCCCCTGCCCCCTTCACTTGGAGCGGCGGTGACGGGGTTCAGGTAGAGGCTTTCAAGGTTGCATAGGTGCGTCCTGCTGGCGGTGCGTCTGCGCTCACTGCTTACCGCTGGGACCCAACTTCCAAAGGTGGGATTTCGGCCACCAGGGCTCAGCAATGGGACAGGGTCAGGACTCGGATCTGCCTAGGACTCTCGCTCCCCAACCCCGAGCCTGGTCTCTGCTCCGGGGGGGCTTCACGCCATTAAAACTTCGTCAACGTCTATAAATGACAACTTGTGTTTGGAACTTGGATGTCAGCCAGGATAGTGTTTTTCCTGTTTGAAAAAAGAAAAAAAAAAAAAAAAAGGGCTGGGAGAGAGAGAGAAATTGTTCATGGTGTAAACAATTCAGCCGGGTGAGATGCTTGTAATCTTGCAGAAGGTCTTGTCTGCACGGTTACTAACTCAGATCTTTACCAAAAAGCAACTGGGAGATAGGATGGCTGACTTGAAAGTAGACACCAAAAAAAAAAGAAAAGAAAAGAAAAGAAAAAGGCAAATATCCTGACCTGATTACTTGAAAATGACTTGTTCACCAATATTTTAAGTTTCTTCTTCTTCCTGTTCTAAGCAGAGAACCTTTGTGTCTTCTTTAAACTTTTTATAATGTATCAATTTTATGAAAATTACCTGAAGTTGACAACATGTTTTGGAAGTTTCTAAGCCATCAGTTATTTTTTTTCATTGCTTTACTTAAGAATTTGGCTTGGTTGGTTAAATATCTTGTTTTGATTTCAGTGATTGAGCATAATTTATTGTATGTGGCACCTTGGGTGTGACCTCATAAAGATATTTTAGTAAATCTAAGTTGTATTTACTCCTCCCAAATAGGCTTGCTTGTCAAAAAAAAATTTTTTTTTATCTCCACAATGTCATTTAAAATTTACATTACTTTTTCCTCATGCAGGAAACCCATGTCTGAGTTTCTGAGTGCTGTCTTTCTTATCTATCGTTACACTAAAAAAATCCACTTGTTGCTTCTTGTTGCCTACTCTTACCTGGTTTATTTTCCATGTGTTGAAGAACATATGTTTTGGGGTACTTCTTTCAATGAAGGTCTACAAATGTCTGAAAATGTCTTATCTTTACTCTTGGATGATTTTTTAACTGGGTATAGATGTCTAGACTAACAGGTATGTTTTCTCAGCCCTTTGAGGCTGTTATTCCATTGTTTTGGGGCTAGATGAGGAATTTCTATTCTTTGGGATTCAATATGCATTTATAATTTGTAAATTTATGTTTTTCTTCAGTTCTGAAAAATTCTTAGTTATTATATCTTTTAATATTTGGATCCACACCAGCATATGTGGCAGGCCTGGGTTTTGATTTCTTATGGGAGATTTCTAGGAGGCTAGCTTCTAGCCAGGTGGAGACCCTGGGTCAGAGGTCAGAGATTTTTGAGGCCCCTGTTCACATATGGCGTAGCCTTTTCTCTGTGCTTGGCTTTATGGAGAGCCCACTGTCACTTCTCTACCATGCGCTGGGCCATGAGTCCTTCTCTAGTCTGGCTTCACCCAGGCATCTCAGCCCTCGCCCTAAAGTGGGCGTCTGTTCCTGGTTTCACTCTGGGCCGCAGGGCTTCAACTTCCTCTCAGCTAAGTCGCCCCTAACACCGGGCTTACTCCTCAGACTTCCATCCTATCCCAAGTCTTGGACTAATAATTCCTCACCACTCTGGCAACTTTCTGAATTCTTTAAGCAGATGATGTTTATACTTTGTGCAGATCCACAGCCTTTATTAGATCTGACTCCACTCCATCTAACTTGAGCCATCGCCCTTCCCTTTCTCAGTGTCTTACACTGAGGGGTTCTCTGCCCCCTCCTGTAGTGTATTGGGGAAATGGGAGGAGAGACAAGCAATTCTGACCTAAAGTGTCAAGCTGTTAACTGTAGTTTTAGCATCATCAATAATTATTATTTGTTGAAAACCGACCACGTAACAGGTATCATATAATACGTATATGAAATAGCCCAAGATCTCTGCTCTTATAAATTTTATGTTTTAAAGAGAAAAAGCCAGGAAAAATAAAAAATGAACGTATTTGACCTTAAATCTTAGCCAGAAATTGGTATAGATTTCTTAAGATTTGTGCAATATGTTACAAAGTGGAAAAAATCAGGTAAATTTTGGTTCTCCAGTACAATTATACTAAGAGGATTTTTTTTTCAACAACCAATTAAGCAGAAAGACAATGGGATAGACATAGTGCCAAATAGTAATAGCCATTTCATCTTAACCCTGTCAGTTTTAGAGGTGGGGACAATGCTAGATCTGCGGCCTCTATGGGTTAGTTTCTGTTGTCTTCTGTTTCTGCTTTTCTCATGCTTATCACCTTGCTTTCGTTAGTGCCCAGTTGTTTTTCATTTTTTACTGGACATTCTATTTGAAAAATTGTTTCTAGAAAGAAATGTAAGGGCTAGGATGATGTTTTCTTCTTCTGGAGAAAATTTTCCTTTGCTTCTGTAGGTACCCATGAGCACTAGCGTTCCAGAAATAATCTTAGTCCATATTCAGAAATCAAGGCTGCCCAAGCCATCCAGATAAATCAAAGCTGTGATGCAACCTGTGAGGACTTGTTTTCCTCTAGTTCAGCCTTATCTGTCCCATCCGTGACTGCCCCAGACCTTAACATTTAACTCCCTGCTTTCTAAGGCTGTCAAAAGTGCTCTGCAGCTGTCAGATTGTGCTTACTGTGTTCAACGCAATGAAAGACAAAACTGAAAAATCTGGCAGAGAATTTGAAACTATAAAAATGACATAGCAGAAGTGGAAAGGAACCAAATAGAAATGATATAGATGAAAACTGTAATAATCAAAAAATTTAAAAGCAGTGGATGGATTTAACAGTAAATTAAACATAGCTGAAGAAAGGAAAATAAACTAGAAAATAGATCAGAAGAAAATACCTAGAATGAAACTTGAAGAGACAGAAAGTATGGAAAGAACAGAAGAGAAAGAGACATGGACAATACAGCTAAACTAGTGTTTAGATGAAAATGCATGACCTGAAATGGATATATTAGAAATGAAGAATGGCTGAAAATTAATGAGGAAGCATCTATCTCAGGAAATTAGAATGAGAACCGTAAAATAAATCTAGAGAAAGCAGAAGGAGGTAAATAGTAATATGAGTAGAAATTAATGAAATAGAAAATAAATAGAGGCTCTGTAGAGTGAGAAGTTGATTATTCAAAAGTGCTGATAGGACTTCCCCGGTGGTGTAGTGGTTGAGAATCTGGCTGCCAATGCAGGGGACACAGGTTTGATCCCTGGTTCAGGAAGATACCTCCCACATGCCATGGAGCAACTAAGCCTGTGCGCTGCAACTACTGAAGCCCGTGTGCCGCAACTACTGAAGGCCGTTCGCCACAACTACTGAAGCTCGCGTGCCTAGAGCCCGTGCTCCACAACAAGAGAAGCCACTGCAATGAGAAGCCCGTGCACCGCAACGAAGAGTAGCCCCTGCTCGCTGCAACTAGAGAAAGCTCGCGCGTAGCAACAAGGACCCAATACAGCCAAAAATAAATGGATAAAATAAATAAATTAAAAAAATGCTAATAAAAACGATAAACCTCTGGCAAGACAATTGAGAAAGAAAGCAGGCACAAATATCATCTAAGGAATAGAATAGAGGTCCTGCAGACATTAAAACAATAAGAGGATGAAAGCAACTATGTCAGTAAATTTGAAAATTTGGAAGAAAATGATAAATTCTTTGAAAAACACAACTGACAAAAGAATATAAAGAAAATCTGAATCATTCTGTAGCTGTTAAATTAATGTATTTAACAAAAACAAACAACAACAAAAACTGTATGAGGACATTAGGAGAAAGAAATTTGTAGGGCAATTTTACTTCTGAATATAGATTAAAAAATTCTAAACAAAATATTATAAATAAAATCCAGCAATATATAAAAAGGATAATACATCCAGACGAATGTGGGTTTATTCTAAAAATGCAAGGTTGCTTTAACACATTTATCCATTGTAGTCACCAATATTTATTAACAAAGTGAAGGAGGAAATGTTCTTATCTCAATAGTTACAGGAAGAAAAAAAAATTTTGATAAAATTCAACATTCACCAATCAAGACAATGAAGTAAAGGTATAAGGATTGGAAAAAGTAAATAAAACCATCATTATACCTGGATGATATGATTGTGTATGTAGAAAATTGAAAGGAATCTACAAACTGTGAAATTACTGAATTAGTTTTGCAAGGTTGCTCAGTGCATGGTAGATATATAAAACTTAATTGAATTTCTCTCTCTGTATATATAGTTATATGCCACATATAAGTAAGTAATACTATTTTCAAAACTTCAAAAGTATCAGATGCCTAGAAATAAACCTCACAAAATATGCTCAAGACCTCTGTGTAGAAAATCATAAGACATTATTGTGGTAATGAAGACCCAAATAAATGGAAAGATATATCATGCTCATGGATTGATTGCTCATGGATTGAAAGATTCAATATTGTAGTGATGTCAATAATTCCAAAATATCTATAGAGTCATGGCATTGCCAACTAAAATCAATGGGTTTGGGCTTCCCTGGTGGCTCAGTGGTTAAGAATCTGCCTGGGAATGCAGGGAACACGGGTTCAAGCCCTGGTCCAGGAAGATCCGGGAAGATCCCACATGCCGCGGAGCAACTAAGCCCGTGAGCCATAATTACTGAGCCCGAGTGTCACAACTACTGAAGCCCGCGCACCTAGAGCCTGTGCTCCACAACAAGAGAAGCCACTGCAATGAGAAGCCTGCGCACTGCAGTGAAAAGTAGCCCCTGCTCACCACAACTAGAGAAAGCCCACGTGCAGCAACGAAGACCCAACACAGCCAAAAATAAAATAAATAAAGTTATTTTTAAAAAATCAGTGGGTTTTGTTTTTGAAACTGATAAGCTGATTCTGTAATTTATAAGAATATGCAAAGCACCAAGACTAAAACTCACTTAAAGGAGAACAGGGAGGAAGGCCTTGCTCTCCTGGATATGAAGATATGTCATATATTTAATATAGTGTGTTACTGGTACAAGGATAGACAAATAGACATTGGATCAGATTAGAGAGCCCTGAAACAGGCTGACCCTTAGATGGACACGTGAGTACTGGCAAAGGTAATACTGTTGATTGTTTCCCCAAAATGATCTTTTGAAAAATGTGCTAAGTCAAATACTGCTTCCTGCACTTAGTTCACTGCAGATGAGAAGGTTCTGATGGTCTGATTGTCCCTCCGCCCAACAAACCACCTTGCTCTGCCTGGGGTTCTCAGCACCCCTTCCACCTGCTAGTGCCAAGTGCAAGACAGGTTGACAAGCATGGGACCTTTTTCTTTTGGTTAAAGAGCATGCTCCACCTGGAGCTGTATTCAGTGAAAGTTGTTCAAGGAGAGCTGTGGTTTGGCACTGTGAGATCTCTAACTCATGGGGGCATCAGGACAGGCAAGGGGCATGCTCCAATATAAGTTCTGAAGTACACAAATACGAGATTGTAAATGCATATGGTTAAGCCTAGCCCTTAAACTGCTTGCTTTTTCATCCTCCATCATTCATTTACTTTCATCTTTCAACCCACGTTTGGTCCTGCTGCATATTCCTAGATGGTACTGTGCCTTTAAGTCATTGTTCAGTGGCGGTCTGTTGCTGGATGTGTCAGGGAATTCATTTTTTATCCTTATCCTTATTCATACATTCCATTTCCCTGTCAGTTATGTCTTGGTGTGTGTGTGTGTGTGTGTGTGTGTGTGTACGCACGTGCTACATCTTACAAAACGTTTCTCAAGAACTGGAATTAAGCTATGCTGTCAAACACAATCACTCATTTGAACCTCTTTTCTTTGTAGGTGAGATCACTGGACAATGCCACCTGCTTTGTGGACAGTGTGGGTCTTGGGGTCTGTAATCAGCCTCCCCAAGGAAGGAGCCTCTGATCAGGCTTCTTCTCTGTCTTGTGACCCCACTGGTGTCTGCGATGGCCGCTCCAGATCTTTAAACTCCATCCCCTCAGGGCTCACGGCAGCTGTGAAAAGCCTTGACCTGTCCAGCAATGAGATCACCTATGTCAGCAACAGCGACCTGCGGAGGTGTGTGAACCTCAGGACTCTGAGGCTGGGGGCCAATGAAATTCACACGGTGGAGGAAGATTCTTTTTTTTCGCTGAGGAGTCTTGAATATCTGGACTTATCCTATAATCGTTTATCTTACTTCTCATCCTCCTGGTTCAGATCCCTTTCTGCCTTGAAATTCTTAAACTTACTGGGAAATTTATACAAAACACTCGGGGAAAGATCTCTTTTTTCTCATCTCCCAAATCTGCGAATCCTGAAAGTAGGAAATAGTAACAGCTTCACTGAGATTCAGGAAAAGGATTTCGCTGGGCTAACTCTTCTTGAGAAACTTGAGATTAATGTTCCAAATCTGCAGACATATGCGCCAAAGAGTTTAAAGTCAATCCAGAACATCAGCCATCTGATTCTTCATCTGAAGCAGCCTGTTTTACTGTTGGAGATTTTTGTAGATATTTTAAGTTCCTTAGAACATTTAGAACTGAGAGATACTGATTTGAACACTTTTCATTTTTCAGAAGTATCCATCAATGAAACGAATACATCGATTAAAAAGTTTACATTTAGAAATGTGCAAATCACTGACGAAAGTTTTCCTGAAGTTGTGAAACTGTTTAATTATGTTTCTGGAGGCTTAGAAGTAGAGTTTGATGACTGTACCCATGATGGAGTTGGTGATTTTAGGACATTGACTCTGGAGACAATTAAACACCTAGGTGACGTGGAGACATTAACAATACGGAAGTTGCATATTCCACAGTTTTTCTTATTTCATGATCTGAGTAATATATATTCACTCACAGGAAAAGTTAAAAGAATCACAATAGAAAACAGTAAGGTTTTTCTGGTTCCTTGTTTACTTTCACAACATTTAAAATCATTAGAATATTTGGATCTCAGTGAAAACTTAATGTCTGAAGAAACCTTGAAAAACTCCGCCTGTGAGCATGCCTGGCCCTTACTAAAAACCTTAGTTTTAAGGCAGAATCGTTTGAAATCATTAGAAAAAACTGGAGAAATTTTGCTTACTCTGAAAAACCTGACTAACCTTGATATCAGTAAGAATAATTTTCATTCAATGCCTGAAACTTGTCAGTGGCCAGGAAAAATGAAATACTTGAACTTATCCAGCACAAGAATACAAAGTTTAACCCGTTGCATTCCCCAGACACTGGAAATTTTAGATATTAGCAATAACGATCTCGATTCATTTTCTTTGATTTTGCCAAAACTCAAAGAACTTTATATTTCCAGAAATAAGTTGAAGACTCTACCAGATGCCTCCTTTTTACCTGTATTATTAGTTATGAGAATCAGCAGAAATATAATAAATACTTTCTCTAAGGAGCAACTTGATTCTTTTCAAAAACTGAAGACTTTGGAAGCTGGTGGCAACAGCTTCATTTGCTCCTGTGACTTCCTGTCTTTCACACAGGGGCAGCAGTCCCTGGCCCAGGTCCTGATCGACTGGCCAGAAGAATACCTGTGTGACTCTCCATCCCCCGTGCGGGGCCAGCGGGTTCGGGACACCCGGCTCTCGCCTTCTGAATGCCACAGGGCAGCCGTGGTGTCTGCCGTGTGCTGTGCCCTTTTCCTGTCGCTCCTGCCCGTGGGATTTCTGTGCCACCGTTTCCACGGACTGTGGTACATGAAGATGATGTGGGCCTGGCTCCAGGCCAAGAGGAAGCCCAGGAAGGCCCCCCGCAGGGACATCTGCTATGACGCCTTTGTGTCCTACAGTGAACGGGATTCCTACTGGGTGGAGAACCTCATGGTCCAGGAGCTGGAGCACTTCAGACCTCCCTTTAAGTTGTGTCTTCACAAACGGGACTTCATTCCTGGCAAGTGGATTATCGACAATATCATTGACTCCATTGAAAAGAGCCACAAAACCATCTTTGTGCTTTCTGAGAACTTTGTGAAGAGTGAGTGGTGCAAGTACGAGCTGGACTTCTCCCATTTTCGTCTCTTTGATGAGAACGACGATGCTGCCATTCTCATTCTGCTGGAGCCCATTGAGAAAAAGGCCATCCCCCAGCGTTTTTGTAAGCTGCGGAAGATCATGAACACCAAGACCTACTTGGAGTGGCCCGCTGATGAGACGCAGCAGGAAGGGTTTTGGTTAAATTTGAGAGCTGCAATAAAGTCCTAGGATCCTTCATTAAGGGTCAGTCTTGGTCTGGTGGTGGTCTTTCTATCACTAGTTATAACGCTAAGTCCATTCTGACCCAATTATATGTAAACTATATGAATGAGGACTTGCTGACTGAAACAACTAAAACTGTTCAAAAACTGCTACCAGATTGGAAAAACATGGTTCTGGGCTTTTCATTATCCTATGAGATAATCATGATCTCACTGCATTATTGATATCTGAATTACCTGTACCAAATGACTTAGTTCATTAGGAAACAGCAGAAATGAGCAGAAGATTTCAAATTACTGTGTCCGTCAGCTTTCTGCCAGGAGACTCATGCATGTCTGTAGAGGTCGTTCTCCATCCCCCCAGCTGTCCCTTCTGTGCCTGACTGCTCTCAAGAGCAGCAAGGCAAAATGTTATTGCTGTTCTTAGAAAAAAAGTGCTGTGTGTCCTCATTAAGCTTCACAGGATACAAAAACCCCTAGAAGGTATATTTTCATATGAACTGGATCTGTCTTTCTTGGTATTTGATAAGTTTCTCCAGCCATAGTTACTTGAGAGAGGGTATATAACCCAAGATGCAGTAAATTATGTATTTCTATGAAAATGAAACTAATGAAATAAATACTCAGTTTTGAAGGATTTGAAAGAATCCCCCTATATCCCTGACTCAGATCTTCAGCCTTTAACTATGTGTGAAGTTCTAATTAGTGTCTGGTTACTCTGCTTTCAGCCCCATCTTCTAGTCGGCTTCCCTTGCATCATGTTGCTTTTTCCTTCTTTGAAAAGTCTTGTTTCTGATTTTTTCTCTTTTTGAAACATTATGAAAGTAAGTATGAGCTAAATAGATTTTTAAGCAAGTATAGACCTAGAGGTTCTTCACGATGACTCAGAAATATTTGATACACAATAATTTAAAAGATAGATACTACTTCCATATGTTAATTTTTAGAATCTAGATAATAAGACATTAAGTGAATACATTAAATTTAAAAGTGAGGAGCTTTTTATGGACTTCATGCAACTCACTCCTTAAGCTGGGAACCACATGTGAAAGGAAGTGACCTTGCTCAGTCCTCAGCCAGAACTGGGTCTGTGTGGTTAGTTGGGGTCTGGAATCAGAAGGACCTGGGTTAGTATGCATGTATCTTTGGGCAACTCAATCTGATCCCAAATATTTTCCTGTCCTTAAGATAGGGATAATAATAAATACATCGTAGGGTCTGATATAGATGTCAATGTGCAGTAATATCAGTAAAGCACTGGCATGTGCCCCTGGATGAGGACCAACCCTATGAGAATGGGTACCATGGGGTACTCGCACAGGGTGACAGGTGCCTGTGGTAGGTGTTAGCTATTATTATTATTTTCCAAGAAGGAATTCCTCTTATATACTATGGTTTGTAAATGAATGTTTTTGTGTTATGAGTACTAGCAGGGATCTAGGGTATATTTTCTGTCGTTTGCAGAAAGTTATCTCAAAGAAATAAGTTCATTAAGTGCAGGACAGGCTTTAGTCCTTGGGAAGCCCAAACAGTGGGTTCTTCCATCTCACACAAACTCCTGGGAGAGTGTAATGGAGTACCCAGCCTAAGAAAAAAATAGACAAGTTCAGGAGAAGGAGACTTGAGATGCCACAGAAACCAAACACAAAATGGACTTTTTGCTTTAGTCCTCTATTTCCTTCCTACATTAAGCACAATGTTAATTGTCATGAGAACCAGACAAATTTAACGTGGACTTGACCTGTAGATTTAATTTCAATAATTTAAACAGCAATAGAAAAGATTCATAGTTAATTGATAGATTTAAAATAATATTTTAAAAATAATCTATTTTTCTCATTGCAAATGTTAAATTGTAGAAAATTTGGACAAGAAAAAAAGCATATAAAAGAAATTAAGAATCAGCTCTTATCCCTTTACCTTGAGATAACCACTGGTAACTGAGTAGTATATACATATTACTTCACAAAACTGAGACTAGATTTAATTAATTAATTTATTTAAAATTAATTTATTTTTTGGCTGCGTTGGGTCTTCATTGCTGTGCACGGGCTTTCTCTAGTTGTGGCAAGCAGGGGCTACTCTTCACTGTGGTGCGTGGGCTTCTCATTGCAGTGGCTTCTTTTTGTGGAGCACGGGCTGTAGGCTTGTGGGCTTCAGCAGTCGTGTTGCATGAGCTCAGTAGTTGTGGCTTACGGGCTCTAGAGCACAGGCTCAGTAGTTGTGGCGCATGGGCTTAGTTGCTCCGCGGCATGTGGGATTTTCCCGGACCAGGGCTCGAACCTGTGTCCCCGCATTGGCAAGTGGATTCTTAACCACTGCGCCACCAGAGAAGCCCCTGAGACTAGGTTTTAAATGCCTAAACTGCGTAAAGGAAGTAGCATCTTTATTTTTTTCTGATATTGTTTAGTAATTATCTAACATTTCTGAACTCTGAGGGCCATTCAGAATTCCATGAAGACACATGCTGCTTTACTTGTCCAGAGTCCTAAAGGGTCTTCACTCTGCTCTACATAAAAGGCAGATGGCAAATACATCAGAGGTGCATTTAAGGGCTCTGCTACAAAAGAAAAACTAATTTTTAGTTGGTGCTTTATCCAGCTGTGAGGTCTTTTATTTGTCTGTAGCCTGTAAATCCAAAAATCTTGATTTATCTCTTTAATCCTTGCACATGCCTGGTACGTAATAAATATTGAATTGTTGAAATGTTTGCTGAGTAGAGAAATAAGGCAGAGTTAAATCTTCTAATAATCTGGATGATGAGCCAGTTGTAATACTGAAGCACTGAGCAGTTTCAAGAAGGAATATTACCAACCAGAAAAATCTTAATGTGAGTTATTGTCGTTACAACTACAATGGAATTTTGTATAGCATTAAGTGCGTTGCTGATATTTTTAAAAAAATTATTGAAGTATAGTTGATTTACAATGTTGAGTTAATTTCTGCTGTACAGCAAAGTGACTCAGTTATACATATATATGCATTCTTTCTCATATTCTTTTCCATTATGGTTTATCACAGGATATTGAATACAGTTCCCTGTGCTGTACAGCAGGGCCTTGTTGTTTATCCATTCTATATGTAATAGTTTGCATCTGCTCACCCAAACTTCCAATCCAACCTGACCCCACTCCCCCTCCCCGCTGGTAACCACAAGTCAGTTCTCTATGTCTGTGAGTCTGTTTCTGTTTCATAGATAAGTTCATTTGTGTCATATTTTAGATTCCACATATAAGTGATATCATGTGGTATTTGTCTTTCTGTTTCTGACTGACTTCACTTAGTATGATAACTTCTAGATCCATCCAAGTTGCTGCAATGCGACGCCAATGTTTCCGACAATAGATTTGTTTCTTTTCTACTTCATACAAGTGTAATGTCTTCACGTATTGCAGAATAGATGTCTGGTGTGATGTAGACAGTGTTGGCTGTTTAACAAATGACCAGTAATTTAAAATGAATTAATTTTGGGGAGTTCAACATATTCTTGGGTTAATTTGTTCTGACTGGTCTTCCCAATTCTGTTAATTTTCTCTTTCTTGCTGGATTAATTCATTTGGTCAGCAAATATTTATTGAGTGCCTGCTATGTGCCAGGTGCTGCTCCAAGTGCTGGAGAGATAGTAGGGAACAAAACAGATAAAATTCCCAGTCTTCATGGAGGTGAAGACAAACAGTAAACAAATGAGTCTATGATATGATTTCAGGAAGTGCTGTGAAGAAAATAAAAGCAGAGTATGGCCATGGATTGACTGTGTGTGTGTGTGTGCATGTGCGTGTGCGTGTGTGTGTGTGTGAACAGAGTGGCACAGAAGAAGAGAGTGCTTCTCTTCCCTTTAGTGCAGCCCTTGGGTGGGCTGAGTGCATGGGGCAGCCCCAGGAAACCCAGGGTAGCTCTGGCCCATCGAGTGGACTGCAACACACTGGTGCTAGAGGCTTCAGGAGTGCTCCCTACACAGAAGGGCTCTGTGGTGCCAAAGCTGCCACGTGGTAACAAGCACAAAGAACACAAAAGACTCTGTTCTAAAACCATAGATTTAACAACTCTGCCTACTTCTTTGAAGATGTTGAACTGATAAGAAGGTACTTGTTGTAACTCAACGTTGTCTGTGAGGAGTACTTTGCAAACCTCTGAAACACGCCTCAGATGAGATCACTGTAAGCCAAAGTAGAGGTGGGATATGTCCACAGTGGGTTGTACCAAATGTGTCAGATGCGATGATTAGAAAACGATTGTAATCGGAAGGATGCAAAGCACGCTTTATTTGTTTATTCCATTGCTCAGCTTCTCTTTAAATTCTTTCCACAAGACAAAGGGCCAGTTGTTATTCAGTTCTCTAAATTCTTGGGGTCATCTCTAAAATTAGAAAAGAAGGGCTTCCCTGGTGGCGCAGTGGTTGAGAGTCCGCCTGCCAATGCAGGGGACACGGGTTCGTGCCCCGGTCCGGGAAGATCCCACATGCCGCGGAACGGCTGCACCCGTGAGCCATGGCCACTGAGCCTGCGCGTCCAGAGCCTGTGCTCCGCAACGGGAGAGGCCACAACAGTGAGAGGCCCACGTATCGCAAAAAAAAAAATAATAATAATAAAAAAATTAGAAAAGAATATCAATATTAAATGTAGGATTAAGGATTAGAAAATATTTCAACATGCAATACATTGCTTCTGGGGTAGGTGTGCCATGCTATTCCAGCCCTAGTGAATAATTAATGCCTTGGACGATTCCTATCACCACGGGTTGCCAGGCCACCAGATAACGAAGCCAGTCCAGGATTTGTCCATATAAAAAGTGTGTGTGGAGGAGCTTCAAGATGGCGGAAGAGTAAGACATGGAGATCACCTTCTCCCCACAAATACATCAGAAATAGATATACATGTGGAACAACTCCTACAGAACACCTACTGAATGCTGGCAGAAGACCTCAGACCTCCCAAAAGGCAAGAAACTCCCCACGTAGCTGGGTAGGGCAAAAGAAAAAAGAAAAAGCAGAGACAAAAGGATAGGGACGGAACCTGCACCAGTGGGAGGGAGCTGTGAAGGAGGAAAGGTCTCCACACACTAGGAGCCCCTTCGCGGGCGGAGACTGCGGGAGGCGGAAGGGGGAGCTTCGAAGTCGCGGAGGAGAGCGCAGCAACAGGGGTGCGGAGGGCAAAGCGGGAAGATTCCTGCACAGAGGATCGGTACCGACCGGCACTCACCAGCCCGAGAGGCTTGTCTGCTCACCCGCCGGGGCGGGCGGGGCTGCGTGCTGAGGCTCGGGCTTCGGAGGTCAGTGGGGTTGGCGGCGTGAACACAGCCTGAAGGGGCTAGTGCGCCATGGGTAGCCGGGAGGGAGTCCGGGAAAAAGTCTGGAGCTGCGGAAGAGGCAAGAAACTTTTTCTTTCCTCTTTGTTTCCTGGTGCGCGAGGAGAGGGGATTAAGAGCTCCGCTTAAGGGAGCTCCAGAGACGGGCGTGAGCCACGGCTATCAGCGAGGACCTCAGAGATGGGCATGAGACGCTAAGGCTGCTGCTGCCGCCACCAAGAAGCCTGTGTGCGAGTACAGGTCACTCTTCACACTTCCCTTTCGGGGAGCCTGTGCAGCCCGCCACTGCCAGGGTCCCGGGATCCAGGGACAACTTCCCCGGGAGGACGCACG